TTTATAGCCTCAGTTTCAACCTGACCAGATTCTTTATATTTACTGTCTCTCATTGTTTTATATTTTTAACCTGCAAGGGACCAAGGATGAAAATCAGCTTAACGGCTAAACCTGACTTGCATACAGGTTCTAAACCATAATTACTGAAAAAGTAAATGTTCCAAATATAAAATTTTGAATGCATTGTTGCAAGAAATCTGTCAGATTTCAGAGAATGGATCTGCATTTCTTAAGTGATTGAAATTATTTCTAGAATTTTCTTCCAGATCATCTGAATTTCTGTTTTAGCATGTTGCACAATGACAAATGTATTCTCTTTTGCAACCTCCTGCTTGCTTGTATTTGGCTATCCTTGTGCACACATTAAGTAATTTTGACCTTTGTTCTCTATCCCTTCCAGTTTCTCCCAACATCAGCTTATTTCTTCAAATGAGGTGGAAATGTTGGTAATCCACCACGTCATAGGCTCATTTTGTCCCTCATTAGAGTTAAAGGTTTGAAAGTAGGATAGCTGAAAAGTCCAGATCAGATTTTCGCACCATTTTAGTGCTGTTTACCAGCTAGTGCAGTGGCTGAGAGCCCGATTTAGGCTTCTTACACAATTTTTTAGTCTTAATGGTTTCCTAGGTCCTGTGCATGGCCTGGTGATTGGTGAAGGTGTGGCTGAGAGCTGTTTATCATTCTGAGCTGCCTGCTAAGCCTTTAGTAACAGGCAGAAACATATGGACAGACAGGATGGGTTAGGGGGAGTGAAAACACACACGCACAAAATTAGCTGTCTTCCCTCGGTTAAAGGCTTTCAGCTGTGGATCATTTAATGGCAGTGAGCAGGAGTAGAAAAAATGTAGTTTTCCATCAGTGGAACTCGCAATTGGTCCTAAATTTTAAAAGCTTAAAAAAAAAAAAAAAAAAAAAAAACAGGGAGTACACGCAAGCTAAAAAAAAACATAAAAATAAAGATTAAAACTTTGCAGCTTTCTGTTTCACAAGTTTACCTTAAAATGGTCTTAAAATTCGTATTTACCTTTTGTTGTAGAAAGATAAACATTTTTTAAAATGCAGTTTTTTTTATTGTTAAGCCTGAATTAAGCAGGTGCAAAAGAAAATAATTGGAAATTAGACTCACTTATTATTGGAAGTTTTTCAGTGTTTTGTTACATAACCTTTTATTTCTGGCATGCTTCAGAATTTACATCCAGCTGACAAAAAAAGAACCAAAAAGGAGCAAAAGAGAAATGAAAGAGTAAGGACATTATGTCTGAAACGTTGAGGTTTCACCCAAGACAAACGCAGTAATGGCAAAGTCTGCAGCTTGATTTTGAGCTGATGCAGTGAAAATCTTTCTGCCAGACTTCTTTTAACTGGAGGAAGTATGCATACACAAATGCATGAGGGCTGGGGCTGTGTGATATGGCCAAATTTTAAAAATTGTTTTATGCAATTGCGATTTTATATAGACTTTCTTCTGCACTAACCCCAATAATCAAATATGCTCCATAAAAGTATCTGTTTGTAGAGAAGCTGTAATAAGAACAAAACAGAACTGCAGTTTATGGATCCAAATATATGTATTTAAGAGGACAGTTTGCTGAGTCAGAAATCAGTCCTGGTTGGACATAAAGTGCAGAGCGCATCTAAGCCTTTGTTTAGTGTACTGGTGCTTAATGTAGTGATAAAATTAATTAAGGTAAATAGTAACTTTAATACCTGGGACTGCACAGAATTGCCTAAAATCAAAGTAATACCAGACAACTCTTTCCTCTTTGGCCACAGGCTTTTGTTTTCATGGTTTTTCATGCTTTCATGTCGAGAGCTTCTTTTTCACTGGACTTTAATTCTGCATGGAAAAGTACTGACTTCTAGCTCTCATGCATGGATCTTTGCACACGCTTAAACTCTCTACAACTCTTCTGTTTGAGGTTAGAACTCACTTTAAATGTATTATCTCCTCCCAAAAGCCTGGAGCTAAAATTTTGTGACCCACTATCATTAAATTGTTATGTGATCAAAATTAAGTGCATCTGCAATTTCAAAATGGAGATTTTTATAATTGCAATTCTAGTGCAATTGTGAATAATTGTCCAGCCTAATCGAAATATAAGCTATAAACATCAGATATCTTAAGGGCTCACTAATAACAATAGTGATTTCTTTATTCTCCTTATAAGCAGATCTTCTTTTTTTTTTTATCAAAAAGCCTTTCTTTGCTATGAATACCTTTTACGATTTCTAGATGGCATGATGCAAATTCTTCATCATGGTCCACAGATCAAGGTGTTTCCTATTTTAGAAGGTGTCACTCAAAAAGCCACTTTATTCTTTCTAAAAGGAATATCCTAAAATTGTCTGCTGTAAAAACAGGTGAAAAAGCTAAATGATATTTATGTATGTTTCAAGATTTGTATATTTTCATATCCAAAATAGCATGATTTATTCCCCTAAAAAAAGCCTCTATAAGTTTTAATAAAGTATTTTTCCATGTGTAGTTTCATAACATTTTATCTCTATCACATGTCAGATTTGTCTGACATTCGGCTGTCTTTAAAAATGAAAACAGATTCTGAAAGCATAGCTGCACAACTTGGCCCTCACTCTCTAGCTTGATCTTAGAAACATCTTTGCTTTGAACCCCCAGTGTCTTTCTTCAAAAACTGAGTTTTTGCACAAAAAATTATTTTACAGAGTTGTTAGTCTGATTCACTTAAATCTGATACTATGTATTAAATGTCAACACGTTTTCCTTATTATCCTATCTGAACCATTGCTGTCACATAGGCTTTCCTTTGCACACATTCCCTCCACAAGCTGTATGTTGATATCGTCGGAATTTGCAGGGATGGGGGAGGAAAACCTTATTCTGAAAGCAAAATTCTTTTTCATGCCTGCATGACAGCATAAAAAAGATGAAGTGAAGGAATGAGTACGAATGATTACTATGACATTGTATTGAAAGTTGGAAAAGTTATTAAAGCATTGATTTGATTAGTGCAGAGTGTTTTCCTTTTGATGCTATGGATTGAAGGGTGACTGCATTTGCATTTTCTATGTAAACACATGGGAAGCAGTCTCTATATAATTATCTTAGTCGCAAAGCTGTAAGTAACTTTTGTATTATGCTCATAAACCACAAGAATTGTAAATATTGTGCTGTATTCTGTATTTAATATCTTGTTTAATTTTCCATTTAAGTTGTAATTTTAAATGCAACCCAGAGTAAGCATAAAGAGCATTGAGGAGAGTGAGTAAAGTAGAAATCAATGTTAGGTTCTGCTGATTATTTATGGCTGCACTAAGCCCTGAAACTCCCAGCTAGATGAAAAACTGGTCTTAGGCAGAAGTGGGCAGAGGGTAGTAGGTCGTTGATAATGAGTTATGAGGTGCGAAGGGAGAGATGAAAGATGATGGGGAAGGACACAGAGGTATGTGTGGATTGATCTCATGGCTGGTCACTGAAATTTGAGCCTACTCGTAATCAGCAGCTTCTGTTCCTATACATCTACATTTACAGAGATCCACAACTTTACCTTACCTTCTTTTTTATGTGTGTTACGGCGGCTGCTTGTCTCAGATCTTTGATCAGAGACATGTTGGTTTACCTCACTTACTAAAAAAGGATGATGTAAAGCCCTTGTGTCAGTATGTTCAAACAGGAAGCCTGACACATACAATTTCAAGGTTTTTGTTTTTTCAGTTGTTTTTTTTTATATACGGTATATGTGTGTTACTCTTTAAGTTGGTGTTGTTGTTTTTTCTTTTTACCTGAAATATTTTTGTCTGTGCAGTGCAAATATGGAGCACAATTATTGTAATGCAGTGTTGCAAACTACTTTTACAGGAAAAAATATATTATTCATTAGGGCTGGGAGGTATAGAAAAAAAGCATATGGATACAAAAAAAATGCATATTGATTAATATCGATAGTTATCTAAAAGATCCTAGACACTTACTTCTCCTGTTCCATTCTTTGTCTATGTAGTGAATTGAGGTGGAGGTGGGGCTCGGATGTGCGACTTGAACAAAGTTTCAAATTTGTGGCGTAGTAGACAGAGACAGATTGCAGCCCATTTTGCACTGATTCCCTAAACTCAGTGTACAAATTAGAGAGCGCTGAGTTAGAGAAAAACTTGCAGACCAGAACTTCATATTCAAGAGTGAAAAGCAGCTGTTGAGAGCCAGGTTTTTCAACTGCAGACAATAGCAGCACATCCATCGCTATAAAGCATGTTACTGCATGAGTGATGTCCTTATGCCAAATGGACGCTTTTTCGTATTTATTACAAAGAAGGAAGCCCAGTTTAGCTTGCCGTTGTGGTACAGTGCCGGGGCCGACACAGCTCATTCTCCACTGGGTGTGAGCTGCTTAGATGATAAAACAAGTTGGTTGTGTTACCATACTTTGTTTTTACTGGTTCCCTGCAAATTTTACAAGTCACTGTCGTTTGGTTTCTATCTGACTTGCTATAACCGAAATATTGCCAAACTGGTGAGCTACTAAAACGCTTCTTTGGGACAATTTCCTCCGCCTCTCATTCTGCGACATATTCACGTGCTCACTGTTGTGGTTTGAGAGGGTGGTGCTTTGTGACGCTGGCCTGGTCCGAAATTGCGATTGGTTGGTGGGAAGGGGCGACTGTAGCATCAACCAACATGATAGGCTACAATGAAAAGGAAGGAAAACTGTTTTTTCTATATGGAACTTCTCTCTTATCCCTCTTATTTTTTTCCCAAACAAAACAAAATAGATGATTATAGATTTCAAGATGAAAAGGAATATGTCTAACATTAGTTGCATCATGAGAGATGAGAAAGAGACAGCTGAACCAAATCCTTTCTGCTTCCGGCCCTCACTATAGTAACTGAAGTTTTAGAAAAATTTTGATAATATAGCTTTAAGTAGAATGGGATTTTCTTTTGGATTGATATAGTATTTTTTATTAAAGTGATATTGAATAAACTATATATCTTATTGACATTTGCTTTTTTTCCGACTTATTTACAGCTACCCTTGAGCCTCACTTCACAGACTGCATCTCGAGGGACCAGGTGACTTTCCGCTGCTGGTGGAGTCCAGGCAGGCTCCACAACCTGTCCTCTCCTGGAACACTGAGTGTATTTTACCTAAAGAAGGAGTGCGTGCAGCTTAAACAATGAATTATATGTACATCTCCTAAAGACTTACTGTATAAAAATCTGATGTTCTTTTACCTGTGTTTCCGCTCATTTAGCTCTCCAACTAGTGAATGGAAGGAATGTCCTGAGTACATCCATGAAAACAGAGAGTGCTTTTTTGATGCAAATCACACATCGATTTGGACCCCGTACTGTGTCCAGCTTCGTGGCCAAAATATCACCTACTTCAATGAAGATGACTGTTTCACAGTGGAAAATATTGGTTTGTTGTCTGAATTTTTTTTACGATTTTATTTTTATTTTTATGAATCATTTAAAAGTGGGGAAACTATCCCCACTTCTAAAGTGCACCCTTTTGTTGATGCCTGGTACTATCTAGTCTGCACTTTTTTGAGGCTGCTCCAAGCTGCCTTTCAGCTGTCACAGACATTTATTATTTCTCTTAAAGTTTGTTGTTAATGTATACTAAATTAAATTATTGTTGTTTAAGAAATTAGTCTCACATCTCATATACCGGTAATACAGGTGCTGGTCATAAAATTAGAATATCATGAAAAAGTAGATTGATTTCAGTAATTCCATTTAAAAAGTGAAACTTGTATATTATATTCATACATTACATACAAACTCATATATTTCAGATGTTTATTTTGTTTAATTTTGATGATTACAAATGACAACAAATGAAAATCCCAAATTCATCATATCAGAAAATTAGAATATTACTGAAGACCAATAAAAACAAAGGATTTATAGAAATGTTGGCCAACTGAAAAGTATGAACATGAAAAGTATGAGCATGTACAGCACTCAGTATTTAGTTGGGCCTCCTTTGGCCTGTATTACTGCAGCAATGCGGCGTGGCATGGAGTCGATCAGTCTGTGGCACTGCTCAGGTGTTATGATAGCCCAGGTTGCTCTAATAGTGGCTTTTAGCTCTTCTGAATTGTTGGGTCTGGTGTATTGCATCTTCTTCTTCACAATACCCCATAGATTTTCTATGGGGTTAAGGTCAGGAGAGTTTGCTGGCCAATTAAGAACAGGGATACCATGGTCCTTCAACCAGGTACTGGTAGCTTTGGCACTGTGTGCAGGTGCCATAAAATTAGAATATCATGAAAAAGTAGATTGATTTCAGTAATTCCATTTAAAAAGTGAAACTTGTATATTATATTCATACATTACATACAAACTCATATATTTCAGATGTTTATTTTGTTTAATTTTGATGATTACAAATGACAACAAATGAAAATCTCAAATTCATCATATCAGAAAATTAGAATATTGTGAAAAGGTTCAAAATTGATGGCCCCTGGTGCCACACTCTAATCAGCTAATTAACCCAAACCACCTGCAAAAGCCTTTAAATGGTCTTTCAGTCTAGTTCTATAGGCTACACAATCATGGGGAAGACTGCTGACTTGACAGTTGTCCAAAAGACGACCATCGACACCTTGCACAAGGAGGGCAAGACACAAAAGGTCATCGCTAAAGAGGCTGGCTGTTCACAGAGCTCAGTGTCCAAGCACATTAATAGAGAGGCGAAGGGAAGGAAAAGATGTGGTCGAAAAAAGTGTACAAGCAAGAGAGATAACCGCACCCTGGAGAGGATTGTGAAACAAAACCCATTCAAAAATGTGGGGGAGATTCACAAAGAGTGGACTGCAGCTGGAGTGAGTGCTTCAAGAACCACCACACACAGACGTATGAAAGACATGGGTTTCTGCTGTCGCATTCCTTGTGTCAAGCCACTCTTGAACCACAGACAGCGTCAGAAGCGTCTTGCCTGGGCTAAAGAGAAACAGGACTGGACTGCTGGTGAGTGGTCCAAAGTCATGTTCTCTGATGAAAGTAAATTTTGCATTTCCTTTGGAAATCAAGGTCCCAGAGTCTGGAGGAAAAGAAGAGAGGCACTTCATCCACGTTGCTTGAAGTCCAGTGTAAAGTTTCCACAGTCAGTGATGGTTTGGGGTGCCATGTCATCTGCTGGTGTTGGTCCATTGTGTTTTCTGAGGTCCAGGGTCAACGCAGCCACATACCAGGAAGTTTTAGAGCACTTCATGCTTCCTGCAGCTGACCAACTTTTTGGAGATGCAGATTTCATTTTCCAACAGGACTTGGCACCTGCACACAGTGCCAAAGCTACCAGTACCTGGTTGAAGGACCATGGTATCCCTGTTCTTAATTGGCCAGCAAACTCTCCTGACCTTAACCCCATAGAAAATCTATGGGGTATTGTGAAGAAGAAGATGCAATACACCAGACCCAACAATTCAGAAGAGCTAAAAGCCACTATTAGAGCAACCTGGGCTATCATAACACCTGAGCAGTGCCACAGACTGATCGACTCCATGCCACGCCGCATTGCTGCAGTAATACAGGCCAAAGGAGGCCCAACTAAATACTGAGTGCTGTACATGCTCATACTTTTCATGTTCATACTTTTCAGTTGGCCAACATTTCTATAAATCCTTTGTTTTTATTGGTCTTCAGTAATATTCTAATTTTCTGATATGATGAATTTGGGATTTTCATTTGTTGTCATTTGTAATCATCAAAATTAAACAAAATAAACATCTGAAATATATGAGTTTGTATGTAATGTATGAATATAATATACAAGTTTCACTTTTTAAATGGAATTACTGAAATCAATCTACTTTTTCATGATATTCTAATTTTATGACCAGCACCTGTATATGGGTATTTTATACCTAGGAAGAAACTTTAACCACTGACTCCACTATGACTTGCTCTACTCCACCCCAACAATTTTCCATTTACATTTACTGCTCTTTCGGTACAGCACTGCTTGCTTTTTCCAGGTCGTGCTCAGGCTTAGGTACAGTCAGAGATGAGTAAAGCCAGAAAAAAACAGTACTGAAAAAAGGCAGTAATGGAAATGTTCAGATACCTGATGTGGAGTACAGCTAGGCCAAGTGGCGTCATTGGACAATGAGTATAAGAGTTTAATATTATATAACAGTGTTTTTTTCACTCACAGCATATAGTAATAAAGATTCTACTTTTAATTTAATTTAGTTAAGGATACCAATATTGCAGCTTCAACTGTTGAGCAATGCAGATATTGATCCGATATGATATCAGCACAAATGATACATACCTTCATTACTCGTTTTGTGGTGTGGAATGTTAAAAAAGGCTTTATCAATAGATTTTACACTAATAGAGAATAATAGTTGTTAACAACGGGTATGAGAACACCCTATTTATCATTAACCTTTGGTTTACATTAACTTTACTAAAAATGGATAGAAGCTGAGTGTTTCTGTTAGCTTGTTTTATCTGAGATTTTAGATGCAGGCCGATATATTCCGATATTTGGACTGATTCCCCATTATGATTTTGACATTCCAATAGAATAACATGGAATAGAATAGAATAGAAATAATTTTATTTGTCCCTTGGCTGAGAAATGCAGGTGTACCATAAGCAAAGTGCAAGGCAAATGTGAGCTTGCAGATACACACAAAAGTAAAAATATAATAAAGAAAATAAATGAGAGACTCTACTGTAAGGGTCAAATTTACAACAACAAAATCAGAACTGTAAGGGTTTTTAAAGATTGCTATACTTAAAGCACTTTCCCCCTTGCAGTTAGTCCAGAACGCTGTGGCCCGGCTTTTAATGGGCACCAAAAAACATGACCACATCACCCCAATTCTTGCGTCTTTGCGCTGGCTCCCTGTTAAGTTTACAATTGTTTTCAAAATATTGTTGTTTGGACTGGCACCTCTACATCGCAGACCTCATCCAAATCTACCGTCTCCTGCCCGCTTTGAGGTCTAAGGGCCAGCTCCAGCTTGTGATTACTAGGGCAAATCAGAAAATCTGAGGGGACAGAGCATTCTCTGTTGTTGACCCTAAGCTGTGGAATGCCCTGCCCCTCAATATACGTACGGCCCCCACATTGGAGTGTTTTAAATCTTGTCGATTCACTTTTATTCTCTAGCTTTTAGCGTTGCGTAAGTTCTGTGGTCCCCTGTGGCTTTGTATTTATTTTATTGAATTTATTGTTTTTAACTGTTTTATTTATATTTATTGTTTTATGCTCCCCTTGTTGCGTGTACAGCACTTTGGAAACATTTTGTTGCTTAAATGTGCTATATAAATAAAGTGGATTAGATTATCATGAAGGTATGTGCTACTGAGTAGGGTGGTTTAAAACATGTCAAAATTCATACATTTGTATTTATGTATAATAAACAACAAAACAGTGTTTAGAAGAATGAAAAACATGTAAACATGTATTGAGCTCTTTTGGAGTAGTGAGGGTTATAATGCCTACGAGCTACCAGAAAGAATGATCTGTGATAACGCTTCTTTGTGAATGTGGGGTGCAGCAGTCTGTAACCACACACTAAAAACATTATGTGGTTATTGACTCTGATTGGTTAGATTTCGGGTTTGTTATCTGCAGATGTCGAACTTTTACTCTAACTTATTTAAAACTGGATTCTTGGAAATACTTTTTCTACAAAGAATTTATCTCAAACCTTAAACGTTTTTGGCAATAGTGTGTATATGTCGTTAAAATTGAGCACATACTGTTTGTAGGCAAGAAAGTGCCTAAAATTTAACCTGAAATCTAGGTCGCCTTAATATGAAGACATTTAAAGCTCTGTGCTTACATAAGAGTGAAAGCACATTTAAAAAGAAATACCTTCTGGCTGACGATGCATTTGGAGTGATCTTGGATATCATTTAGGTTTTCCTTTTTGAATATTTTATTAATATTTCTAATCATTGCTAAAAAAAATTTAATGTATCTATAAAGCAATATATTTTAAATAAAGTCCTTAAGAATTGCTAAGTTGATACACCAGGATTTACTGGAGCCTTCTATGGTCTAAAAGTACACATGCCAAGAAAAAAAGCTGCTGCCTGAAAAAAACATTAGATAACTTGACTGTCTGCCAGATAACGAAGATAAAGACAGAGACCAGCTCTCTGTGAATCATATGGACCTGACAGACAAATTAAAAGCAGCTCTCAGGGTCTCTTTCCAACTGAAGGGCCACAAAATAAAAACAAAGCCTAGACTGCCGCAACCATTCTTTTGATACAGCATGCCAAATAAATTTATATGAACTGAAAAACCTCTACATTTACATACTTTCTTTTTCCGACACAGATATGCAAAACCATCATCCTATAAAAAATAATACATAGATGTTACTCTGGTCTATGATAGATGTCTATAAATAGGCCTAAGATGATATGTAAGCTTTTCTTTTTTTCTAACATATGGTGAGTTTTAGGTTATAGCTTGCATGTGTACATTATGTTTGGCGTTAAAAAAATGTAAAACATTTTTGAGAATAATGTTAATTGTGATGTATTAATTATTGAAATAAGTATCAATTTATTTACTAATCTGTTATTAGTACAGTATAAAGACTCCAAAACATGCTTTTGCTTAAAGGGATAGTTCGGGATTTTTGACATGAATCTGTATGACATCCCCATCACCAGTGTCATGCAATCACACTGACTTACCCCTGGCAGCGTCCTGTGAGCAGAGTTCTCGTCCAGTTTTGGTCAAGCCGAAAGTAGTCCGGCAGGTTTGCTAGACCCAGCGAAATAAAACGTTTCTCTTCCCAAAACATTATGTGTTCAAAAGAGTGATATTTTTGCATCCCAAAAACATTGTAGTGGAAAAAGTCACACGTCGTTATCACTTCGTCCTATTTTCTCTCTGTTCGTATCAGTGCGCGCCGTCATTCAGACAGCTAGGGCCTACTAACCTGACAACAGCCAGATGCATGTCTCCCTCCGCCCAGAGCTAGGCGGAGAGAGAAAATAGGACCAATTGACCAATTGATAACGACGTGTGACTTTTTCCACTACAATGTTTTTGGGATGCAAAAATATCACTCTTTTGAAGACATAATGTTTTGGGAAGAGAAAAGTTTTATTTCGCTGGGTCTAGCAAACCTGCCGGACTACTTTCGGCTTGACCAAAACTGGACGAGAACTCTGCTCACAGGACGCTGCCAGGGGTAAGTCAGTGTGATTGCATGACACTGGTGATGGGGATGCCATACAGATTCATGTCAAAAATCCCGAACTATCCCTTTAAATAGTAAAACACTGAGCATTGATTAAGATAAAAGTTTATAGAATATACATAGATTTAGTTTTTATGCAAAGATTTATTTATGCGTAAATATGGTCTATCCTGACCTGAACTGCTGAAGTGGCAATTTTTTATATACAGACTTTTTACTCAATCTTACGAAATCTTTCCTACAATTCAAAGTATGTTATATCTCAAAATAAAAGCATGGTACAAAATTCATGTTCTAGTGTAGTTTAAATCTTTAAACACTATCATTTACAATGTTTGGAAGCTTTAATTCTAGAGTGCAGCTAGGAGTATAACAGTGTTGTTTTACTTGGAGTCATCAGCTTCAAACCAAAAAGTGCCTTGAAATCAAAAAATATAAACAGCTACATGTTTTCCCTTTTTGTTCACCTCTGAACTTCTGCTCTTTTCCCCTCCCTACAGTGCGTCCTGACCCTCCTGTGTCTCTAAACTGGACACTGCTGAATATCAGCCCCTCTGGACTCAGTTACGATGTCCTAGTCAACTGGGAGCCCCCGCCCTCTGCAGATGTTAGTGTAGGCTGGATGCGCATAGAGTATGAAGTCCAATATAGAGAGAGGAATGCCACCAACTGGGAAACGGTGAGTTTTCTTGTGAAACTTCCTCGCTATCTTAAGTTTTTGAAGTATAATGCCTTATTCCTTCTCCCCTTTGCTGTCTGAACTCCCTCCTGAACTCTTGTGGCTGAAATGCAGTGTAGCTTTCTTGGCAAGCCCACTAAAGCCAGAGCAGGACCCTCTGAGACAACAGCCTCTCTGAAGGAAGAGAAGGGAGGGATCTGTGGGTCAGAGGCTGTGGGACCTTGTGCAGCCTCGTTTATTATTGCCTGGCCACCCCGCTTGACAAATGCAAATTTCAAAATAGCAACAGATGCCTGTCTTATGCCAACAAGTCTTCTATCATATTTATCTGAAAGGCCTGGGCAGTTGTGCCACCTTTAAAAAGGTCATGGTTACAGATACCAAAAATAAGTATGGATCTCTTGGCACCATGTATAGTTTAAGTTAGCTATAATGTTAACTTTCTTGCTGCTTGTGTCAGGACAGCTGTCTTTTTGCCTTAAATGCTGCAACGTCACATTCTTCACTTGTTCATGTTGCTCTGGAAAATTCAAATTTTCAGCTGGAAAAGCAGCCTCATACTCAGCAGACAATCTACGGCCTGCAAATTGGAAAAGAGTACGAAGTGCACATCCGCTCCAGGATGCAGGCCTTCGTCAAGTTTGGAGAGTTCAGTGACTCCATCTTTTTCGAAGTGACAGAGATTCCCAGCAATGGTGAGCAAACCTCTCTTAATAAATGTATGCATAGCTGCCCCAATTCCTTTAAAATATAACCAATGAAGACCCAGCTTTAATTAGGAGCTGTGCTACATTTTGTTTATAGATTCTACAGTCCCATTCACACTGGTTCTAACCTTTGGTATTGTCGGTGTCCTGATGGTTGCCATGTTGATAGTCATTTCTCGGCAGCAAAGGTAGGAACATTTACTTTCTCTCCTTGGGTGCTTCCACTTTAAAAGGTCCAAAAATACTTTGTGTTTTTTTTTTATCATATTATTATAAAACTAGATTAGTGTTAGTTGAGCTTGTTTTATATAAATGAATTATATGTTAGCGTTTAACTAAAGTAGATGGCAAATAAAATGTTTCTAAAAAAAGAGAGAAAATCATAATAATTTTTTTTTTTTTTTTTTAAATGTAATCAGTAATCAGAAATTGAGTTGTTATGTGGATGAGAGAAAAATTCCCGTATATATAAACACACACAGCCCCCTCACACACACACACATATATATATATATATATATATATATATATATATATATATATATATATATATATATATATATATATATATATATATATATATATATACACCCCCCCACTGTTGTTCTGCATAGGTCTACACCCCTCAGCCATATATGGATACTGATTTAGGAACGGGGCCACAATCAGTGACCTCCTCTACATGGATGACATCAAGCTGTTCGCAAAGAATGAGTGAGACATTGTCTTACTGATCCATACCACCCGAATCTACAGCATAGACATCGGGATGTCATTCGGACTAGACAGGTGTGGTCGGATGGTGACTAAGAGAGGGAAGGTAGTCCACACAGAGGGGATCTCACTTACAGAAGAAACAATAGCAGACATTGAGGACAGTTACAATTTCCCCGCAATCCCACAAGCAAATGGCAACCTTGAAGAGGTGACAAGGAAAACAGCTACGGCCAAATATCTAAAACGAGTAAGGCAGGTCCTTAGATGCCTGTTTAATGGCAAGAACAAGTCCTGGGCAATAAATAGCTACACTCTACCAGTAATCAGATATCCTGCTGGCTAAAGGATGAGATGCAGGCCCCGGATGTTAAGACAAGAAAGCTCCTAACCATACACGGAGGGTTCCAACCCCAGACGCAAGGAGAAGGAGGGCTAGTGAGTGGGAGAACCACTATCCAGGATGAAACATCCAAGATCTATAAGTTCATCAAGGACAAGTCTCCAACAGATGATGTGCTCAGTGACTGTGTCAGACAATGGGGAACAGAAGATGAGGTATTAGAGACTCCGTCATGGGAGGACAAGTCACTACACGGGATATAACACTAAAACCTAGCTAAAGTGGCGTACATCTGGAAATCCTACTAATGGCTAGACAGAGCTGGACTGAAGGACACCACAGAGGCACTCATCATGGCTGCAAAGGAGCAGACCCTGAGCACCAGAGCAAATAGAGGCCCAGATCTACCACACCAAACAAAACCCCAGGTGCAGACTGCGCAAAGAGACCCCTGAGAAAATCAAGCAAATAACTGCAGGGTGTAAGATGCCTTCGGGGAAAGCTTACATGGAGTGCAATAATCAAGTGGCTGGCATAGTGTACAGCAGCATCTGTGCAGTGTATTGGCTGGAAACCCCAAGGTCAAAGTGGTAAACCCCTCCATACATCCAAGTGGCTTGAAGTTGGCCTCCAGTGTGGTTTTCCATAGCCCCATGGAGTTTGCGATGAAGGTTCTTAGAGTGCTACAAACAGGCTTAAATTTTAAGATAACCAGACTTTTGCTCGGTTCTTTGAAAACGTTTTGACACCTATCCAGGAGTTCTGTCAATTCTGTTGGCTCATCCCGGAGCAGTCTGTAGTTGGAGTTCTTCTTAATTTAAGCAGCATGGAGCCCCATACTCCTGCACATATTCCAAGTCAGATGCAAAAGAAATAGCTGGCCCTTGTTCTTCTAAGTTGTTGGGGCTTTTTGTTGTGCTTGGGTTATGTGATGAATTATAATGTGACTGCTTATATAATCTCTTTGGGACGAGTTCCATGACAGTACTTTAAATGCTTGGAATCTGAAACCACTATCCTCCCCCTCAGTTCAATTATGGCTTTTCTCTTTTCACAAAGGTAGCTTCCTTGATGCATCTTTCAATCTATTTATCCTCCTTGTCCAAAATCTGAACAGTTTGGTCTTCAAAGGTGTGCCCTTTGTTTCTGAGGTGCAAGTGTGCAGCTGAAGCTTGTCTAGAGCTGTTGGCTCTCCTATGTTGTTCCATGTGGTTATTAAGTTGTTGTTTAGTTTCTCCAATATAGGAGGCTGTACAGTCCTCACTGTAGCAGCATATGGAACACCACTGACCTTAAATTTGGTTGTTCTGTTTTAGGATGAATTAGTTTTTGTCTGAGTGTGTTGGTAGATTTGAAATTTACTGCTATCTTGTCTGCGTTTACTTAGAAACCTCTGACACATATGGGTGACAGTGGCGTCTGATGTAGGAGTTTGCCCTGAAATCAAAGGGTTGATGGTTCCAGCTCTGGCTTTCAGTGTTGTTGTGTCCTTGGGCAAGACACTTCACTTGCATTGTCTACTGATGGTGCTCAGAAAGCCTAGTGGCCTGGTAACTCTCGCTACAGAAAGTTTATCTTTCAGTGGTTGGTGTGAGTATAAATTAAGGAATTGGTCTGTATGTGTAGGTTTCTGGTAAACCTCAGTATTAGGACTTCCATTATCCTCAGTGTGCAGAGCACAGTCCAGAAGGGGCAACATGTTGTTTTTGACATCCTCTATTGACATTTCAATATTCTCTTGTTGGAAGCAAACTGGTTGGAACCAACATCATCCTCTGAGTTCGGATTGAACTCTAAGACCAGCTTAGTGACTCGTGTTCATTATCATCCTCCGCCAGATAGACGTGGTTACTAACCTGTGGTCGTTAGATGGTTAGACGCTGACTCTGTTCACTGCAGTTCAGTTTCTAAAAAAACTCTTTGAGAAATCGAACTGTCTGTCCTTCTTGAATATTGGGTCCTATTGTTCTGAGCCTGACAGGTACATATTTTTTAAAAGCATCTAATGTCTCTGGTTTTCATTTACAGTTCTCCCATCTTAATCCAGTCAAAAATTAGTTGATTTGACCTTAAATAACCATTACCCTTAAACACAATAGATGTAGCACACCCAGACAAGTCCTGCAAAAGAAAACTGCAAATCCTGCTAAGAAAACTCTCCCATCCACATAAGTTAGAAAATTCTCGATGTTTATATTATTCCGCTAAGTGACCATCTAGGTTTAAAACTGGGTACTAAATTCAGCACTAAATGAGAAAAAAATATATTTAAAAGCTACTGCGATATATTGATTTTACCACAATCTTCTATCATTTCAGATTGATGATGATTCTCTTGCCTCCTGTTCCTACGCCCAAAATCAAAGGCATTGATTCAGAATTGTTGAAGGTATCACATTCATTTCTGTTTCCGTTCTATAAATATTTTAATTTAAACATGTCTAATATTCATGACATAAATGTCATGCTAGTTTGTAGTTCATTGACTCACATATAGAATCAAATGAAGAACCAATGAGTCTTAAAATTTTATTTACAAAAATCAACAACAATCTGGAAGCGGAGAACTGCATAAAAGCAGTTAAAATTTCTGGTTGGTCTGAGGGGAGAAAGCAGACTGATCAGAAAGGAGTTGGTTGATGACAACTGATAACTGATTGATTTGCTTGCTTGAGAGATGGAGGGGTGGTAGCATTAATCTGTAGGGGTTTGAATCAGGGGACACATTTAAACAAGAAGGTTATTCCCTGTTTAGGTCTTTGGCTTTAATACCATCAGGGGTAATCATCGGCGAGAGAGGTGATCATTCGCCTCCTTATATACACGTTGTCATCTTGATTGAGAAGCATTTTCAGTTGTGAAGCAACAGGGGTCGGCCCAGCCACCAGCAAAGGTCCTTTCTGTGACAGGAAGTTCACTTACACCAAAAAAACAGCAAAAACTTAGATAACATAACAATATATTATAATGTTACAACTGTGGCAGCCCTAATTATGAAGTTTTTCACGATATCAAAAACAGAGCTTATGTGTGAGTTGTATTATTTTTAAGTCAAAACTAAAACGTTGCTGTTAAATCTTTTTTTTTTTTTTTCAAATGCAGAAGGGGAAACTGGAAGAGTTGAACTTTATCCTGAATGGTGGGGGTGGAGATGGCCTACCAGCCTATGCAACAGATTTCTATCAAGAGGAGCCTTGGGTGGAGTTCATTGAGGTGGATGAAGAGGATGTAGAAGGTGAAGATAAAGAAGATAATTACAATTCAGATACCCAGAAGCTCCTCGGTCTCCCCTACAGGACTACAGAGGGCTGTAGCACCATCAGGTAATCCAGGGATTTTTTTATGTAAACGTTTTTATGTATATGTTGTTATACAGACTGATGTCTCATAATAAAAGTTTTCCCGTGGGTTTTTTTCCCGTCATGCTTTCTCCTCTAGCTACCCTGATGATGACTCGGGCCAGGCCAGCAGTGACAACACAAATCTGCCTCCACATGACAGCCAGATGCTCATAGCGTCCTTGCTGCCGGGCCAACCTGAGGACAACGAGGATACCGTTGATGCTCCAGCCTCGGAGACAGGTGAAAGGCCGCTTATCCAAACTCAAATCAGGGGGCCACAGACTTGGGTCAACACAGACTTATATGCCCAGGTCAGCAATGTTATGCCCTCTGGGGGGGTGGTGTTGTCCCCTGGCCAGCAACCTAAAATCCAGGACAACACCTCAAGTTCAGAGAGTAAGACACAAAAAGGAGAAAAGAAAAGTGAAGACAAAGAGGGGATAGAGGAACAGACAAAAAATGAGCCCCGTTTTCAGATGCTTGTAATGATTCCAGAGGGAAGCGAATACTCAGCTGAGAGTGACGCCATACAGACCAGCACTCCCCCCAGCTCTCTGGTGCCTGGGTCAGGGTACCAAACCATACAGCCACAACCAACGGAGACCAAACCTGCAGCCATGCCAGATACCAATCAGTCACCATATATTCTCCCCGAGTCTCCCCAGTCTCAGCTTTTTGCCCCTCTTGCAGACTACACAGTGGTGCAGGAGTTGGACACGCATCACAGTTTGCTCCTTAACCCACCTCCCAGCCAGTCTCCGTCTTTGTGCCAGCCACAGCATCCCCTCAAAGCCCCGATGCCTGTAGGATACGTCACCCCTGACCTGCTTGGGAACCTCACACCATAAGTTTACAGCATCAGCATACCTTAACTACAGGTGTATGGCTAATTGTTCAGAAAGTCAGGATGCAGTAGCTATACCCGATTCCTGACAATTAAAAAAAAACATCCTGTAGCTCATCAATGTATAACTATGTATACAGGTGTTCAGAGGATATACAAGGGATTATATAAATGTACATCTCAACAAGTTAAAATCTGAAAACAATGTTCCTCAGCAAGTTAGTTTAAAAAGTGCATTATAGATATATATATCCCTCTTTGTGATGAATGTGCTGATTACAGAAGTTTCCTTTGAATTGAAGTGCTGAAATGCATTGACAACATGGTAATTTTTTGAGATACGCTACAAACTATTGTACTCATACATTTAGGTCTGCTTAATTGCCTATTATAAGGCACAAACAATGCACAATTTGCATCCATGCATGATCATAGCAAGCGATGTAAAACCTAAAATGTATGGAAAGTAACCTTAGATTGCCTTACAGTCTTAATATTGAAGGTTAAGTCAGTAAATCACGGAGGAGATGGGAAAAAAAAACATGGTAGCCATGTTTTTAACATCAGGGTAATCTGACTTTGATAGCAGTTGCCTTTCTGAGGTGTATTGCCTATCACACTTACCATATGCTCCAAAGCTCTCTATTTCTTTGTGTCATACTGTTAGTAAACACAAATATTGTAATCACAAGATTATCAAGAAGTATATTTTTTCTATGAAACACTAAACCTTAAAACAAAGCTGTGCAGATTTTAATCTCTGACTTTGTTTCTTCTGATAAAAAAAAGTTTTCTCTCTAGTATGCCAACATATTAAAACCAAAGTTAATGGAGTTTCTAAAGGGGATGTTAGGAGCTGATAGGGAATACAGGGAAGTATACCAATAGATGAAGATTATATATATTAAATGAAGATTGAAATACATAACTGAATAAATCTAAGCTTCATTTTAATACTATACATGTATTGTACTTGTAACAATGTTGGTTATTTTTTCAGAAAAAAAAATAGAATTTTTTTTTTAAATTACTGTTTCTTTGTTCTTCATATGAGTAAGGATTTATTTAGAGATTCCTTCACATTTAGGAGCCAAACATGGCCACTTAGGGCCCCCTTCACACAACCCATCAGGATGTAGGGGTTCTCATGTGGAAATGTGATATATTATGTCAGCTGTTTTGTGCATGCACACAATTTACCTTGTGCGGCTGGAAAGATTTTTAGATAAATTTTTTTGATCCCCTACCAAATTAGGATTCATGTGTACTGGGCTTCTTTTAACATTTGTCTCCCAGTGGTTGAAAAGTGCTCAGCACACCATAGGAACAAAAGGGAAGACAGTCATGCTACAGGTAAAGTGATGAGGATACTCTACTTTAGTGCCGCGTATTCTCCTCCACGCCTCCCCCTAAAATTGATGACGGTGGCGCTGAAACCTCCTGTATTTGTCAATTAGATAGTTAAAAAACATACTTGTCTGGACGTGATCCCGAGAGCAGTAGTAATGTGATGGGTTGGCAGTTTTTTTTTTTGTTTGTTTTTTTTTACATTTTATAATATATTACATTATATATTATATGTTGTATCTTTATTAGATATCCTGGATGTCATAGGACTGTTATATTCTGTGTGAAGGGGGCCTAATCCATGTTACAGAACCAGCAGCAGCCCCAGCTGCTTCATTTGATGCTACATTGCTTTGCTAATGCATTCATTTAAAAGCAAGGCGACATACATATTGATAAAATATAATTTCTGCAATTCAAACTTTCTGAGAGGGAATGCTCTGCCTATGTTATATTATCATTGCAGGGACAGCAACTGGATTAAGTTGAAAGACTGTGAAAGTGTACTATAGAAGCTATCAGCTCACACAGTACTTATGTGCCACGTTCACTATATAAACACCTGTGCCTATTGTTGTATGGTTTGTTTAATTGTTATGGTACTATGCTATGTGATTCAGATTTTTGCATATCCATAAACAATAAGGTACCTCTGTTAGCTATGTATAAATGAACTGATTTAAATCATTTCTGTGCCAAGAAACACTGCTTAAAATATGCACGACATAAAGACATGCATACATGTATATATCTACACAGTACAGAAAAAAAACATTCCCTATAATTATAACATTGTGTGTTCACTATTTCTGTGTGTTACACTATTTTTTTAAATTAATCTTCATGTAGATGTATCATTCAGATTCAGTTATCAGCATTCAAGGACATATTTTTGATTAAGAGAGAACAATATACAAGTCAAAGACAATCAGCAGATTGTTTGAAATTGGACACGAGGTGTTAGTTTGCTTTGCTTTGTACTTTTCTTTGATTAAAGACATTATAGGTAGTGTTTAAAGGGAATATCCTACCCTAGTGCACTTATTTAGCCATATTTCCTTGGATAATAGCTTATATTTTATTACAGTTTTTTAATATATTTGCGTTTACAAGTAGTAGAATTACACAGAAGAATTCCTGAAAAGCAATCTGGTGCCTGTAATACTCATCCTCTGGTTTTTGACTTGAAGATTCAAAAACATGCTTGTCATAAACATCGTAACCTTACAGTACAAGTAAGATGTGTGACATATTTATATACCCACAGGTACATGACAATATTGGTAACTTCAAAAATGACAGGTACATTTGAAATGTATTACACCTTTTAATGAAATTCAAATTTATTGAGCTTCACCTAAAACTTCACCATAAACAAAAAATAATTAAAAACGTTAAAAAAAAATAAATTAATATATATATATATATATATATATATATATACGGTATATATATATATATATATATATATATATATATATATATATATATATATATATATATATATATATATATATATATATATATATATATATATATATATATATATATATATATATATATACGGTATATATATATATATATATATATACACACAAAAAGAAATTTTCATGCTGCTTTCTTGGCTTTGTGGAGGAGAAAATATTCTGATCACAAGGATGAAATCTGTCTTTTTTATCAGGCAGACATGCAATGATAGGATTGAAATGTGAACCCAATGATTGTGCCATTTCTCTCTAAGAAATACTCAGTGCTACGCTGCTGCCTAGTGTGAATGATACCAGCAAATAAATGCTGCTGCAGAATGTCTTAATGTTTCCTAAGGATCTAAAATAGGTTGTAAATAGGTTTGTGTCGATCATCATTTTACAACATTATGCTGCTTAGTGCATGTATTTCTCTTTTTGCTTTCTATGGTGGGTTAAAGTCAAAAAAGAACCGAAATCGATGTTAAACGTTTTGTAAAAAGCAAGTGTGGTTTCTGTTTAGGTATCTCATTTGCTTTTAGAGTCTGTCAAAGTGTCGAACAATCCCAGAAGACTCTCATCATGTTCATTTAGCTAGAACAGAGACTGGAAGGACTTGCAGCTGTTTCAGGCTTACAGTGGCAAAACTGTGAACGTGTAACTGGAATACACAATGCAACCATAAAACTGAGGAACTGTTTTAAGCATTGTTTGTGATAGTGATGGCGAGATGAAGAAATTAGGAGGTTCTTTTTATTCTTCACGCCAACTGTGCAGATGTTTACTACCTTAAGTATTTTATTTCTTTTTTGCCATAATGCTCATTTTACAGAATTGGCAAATTGTTTTTTTTTTTTTTTTTTTTAAGCTTATCAATGTTAAGGACACTTTAGAGTAAGCACTTTGTACACATGGAGCATATACTGTATGTGATGTTTAGACAGAGTATTCAGATTTTATATCTTTTGCTAAATCAAGTTTGTGATTTACATGTGACTACAGAACAGCATTGTGATCTCTTATCAGCAAGAAAATCAAATTTGAGGAATTGTCATAATAATCAAGCTTTGATTTTGTTATATAGAGTTTATGTTTATAAAACAAAAAAAAAACATATTTCACACTAACAGAATACTAGATTGATATGCAATTTAGATTTAGCAATGATACATCCTGGCCTGGAGCTTTTGTTTAAGGCCGTCTTTTGTCACTCTCTCGTGTCTGGAAGTAATTTTGCTGGAATTTGTGGTGGTCAGTTAATGTTTATGATCCTATCAGCATCCAAACCCTGTGTTATTCATCTTGGTAAGAAAATTGTTGATCCTCGACTTCAATTCTGACTTAAGTAAAAGCTGTTTTTTGTTCTTTATGATTTTCCCTGCCTCCATCTTTTATCCCACTTGGCTCCTTCCATGTGTCATTCAGACCCATAAAACTGGAGACATGCCACAAATGATGAAATATTTACAGTGCAGTTTAAGTGGAAATGTTTTGCTATTCTGACTTCATTTATTAATTTCACTCTATTGTATTTGTTACTTTTTTCAGTTTTCATCTTTGTACCACCTTCATATTTTCAACAGAGCCAATGTTCCTGACTGCTGCTTTTTCGTAGGGCCAAGAAAAGTGTTTATCCTTAAGTATTTGTGTTTTCTTCTTTTTGGTGTTGTATGTGCTATCAATAAGTTCTCAATAAAGTAAGTATAATGACAGTGTATACTTTTTTGACAGCAATTTCACTTATTTTCAACCAACCTGTGGGGGTAGTAACTAAACACTAACTTAGCTCATGAAGCATATATTATATATATATATATATATATATATATATATATATATATATATATATATATGTATATATAGCCTTTATGAATGTGTGTGTGTGTGTGTGTGTGTGCAGTTGACTTAGACCTAGAAAACTAGACATTTAAGGACATTTTTGTATAAAACGAAATTAAATTTTGTACAGCTTTCATGACATTTCAATTTGCAGCAGTGATCAAATGTAAACCTTGTGGAAGAAAAAACATGGTGTAGAAAAAATGCATCGATATGGTCAATTTGATGCAGAGTCTGTGATGCAGAGTCTAATGGCAGTGGGGAGGAACTTGTTTCAGAATCTACTGGACCTGCATCGAATGCTTCGAAGCCTCTTCCCAGAGGGCAGCAGGGAGAACAGTCCATGATGGTGGTTTGAGGGGTCATTGATAATGTTGATAATCGGGAAATGCAGCGCTGGGGGGAAATGTCTTTTATGGAGTGTATGATATTCCCAAAAACCCACCACATACTACACAGCAGTTAGAGGTGGTAAAATATTCTGTAATTAAAAGGGTGTGTATTAAAATGGCTCCAAGCCTGCAACATGGAACAGTGGGAACTCAAGGAAACATCTACCTTGATCGCACCACACTTGCCTTGTACACAACACACCCACATTTTCTGATCAGCAAGAGGTGATGTGAGGCAGAGCAGGATTATATCTGTTCAAAGCTGAGATAAAGAGGATCTTTTAGCTAATCGTATTTAAAATCACATCAAGGTTTTCTATTGACTTATGTTTTATTTTTTGTTGACTTTCTTCAGTCTTCCTAAAGAGGAGTTCGTCATTGCCAGTATTTTGATACGGCTATATCAGGAATGGGTGCCAACCACATGGGGAGAGGCAGGGATTCAGTGAAGACGACTGTCTTTCCATGTCAGAGGCAATATTTCTTCATATGTAGTTTACTTTAAAAGACTTAAAAAGGTTGATATGTCTGTGCCAGGGGCATGTGATTGACCACACAAAGAGATGATGTAGCTTTTGTTTTAACACCTTTAAAGTTGAATAGTGAAATTAACACAAATAGGTTTTTGCAAACTGGAAAATGCACGTCAAGACGCTGTCAGGCACGGAGGAATTGTCCTTTCTTTCATTGTTAAAAAGAGGAAGAGCCTCAAAATTAGTTTCCATATATATCCTGAGATTGTCTTCAAAATATTCTATATTAATTCAAGTTATATTTTACAGTAAATAATTAAAACATTATTAAGCCTACATTATTTAATGACTATAATTAAACAAAACAGATTATTTATTTATTTATTTTGCTTTTTTTTTTTTTTCAATGTTCCCTTAAATTAGCTTAAGCCCATCCAGGGCTCCTTGGCAAATGCCCCCACCCCACCTGAAAATTACTGCTCAACAATATGTAAAATTTATCATTGTCTAAAGCGAAGTTGGTTTATTGTCAGTATGTAAGGTCAAATCACAGCCAAAATGTTGGCCTTTACTAAATGCAACCAAGCTTCCTGTTGTGTCAGGGCTAAGGCGCTCTTTAAGGCTGCTTGCAGCTTTAAATATCACTTAGTCTAATGGCCACGATAAAAAGGTTAACAAAGCTTCAGAAAAGATTTGCATCATTCTTATTGGCCCATTATTGACTGATGAATCAATTTAGACCTTAGTATACTTTTCACAGTTCTGGTGATTAGGCAAAAGCTTGTGCAGCATGCACAATTCACAGTGTAATTCACACTTTTAGTGATTAAACCCGGACCATCAAATGCGAATTGCGCTTGAAGAAAGTATTGCATGCACATATATAAAGAGTAAATGGTGGATTTTTTTTTCTTGTTTTGGAGCCACTATTGACCATCTGTGTGAATTAGCTTTCAAGTATATCATACCCTCTTTGCTGCTGCTGCTGCTTGGGTTAGTAAGAGAGGAAAAAACGGTTGTAGAAGTACTTGTGCACCGAGGGGAAAGCATATTGGACAATTAAGACAGAGGCTGTGTACTGCGCTGCTCTGTGTGGGGCTGATTGAATCAGAGAGGTGGCCACTCACAGCTCTTTGTCTCAGGACATTGCAGGTAATTGCCCATAAGTCACCGTTCCTCTATACTGGATCTTCAGTCCAATTACGCCCACACAAGCTGTCCACCTCAGCCTCATTTATTACCTCCGGTTGCTTGTTGACCTTTTTAGACATACAGCCCAACAGGCAGTTCAGCTACATAACACTGAGCAAAGGGTGTCTCACTTCAAGACAGATATCAATGCTTTGGTGATTGCATGGAACAAATTTGCTTAAGATACTCCTTTTGCCTTTTGCATGTTATATACCGATGGCTCTATTCAATTTTTTGAAAGTAGACAAAAAATTTTCATCGACATGAACTTTTACAGGAAGCTGGCTTTTTATTTGAGTTCTCAGATTTATCAAGAAGTATTTCATAAGTCTATTTAGTTAAACATGTTAAGCCAATGATCATGTTTAATAAAGATTTTTCGTCATATGTTAATAGTTTTCTGCAGTATCATGGTTTGTGCATCCAATCCCTGCAGATGATGAATGTAAATATTTTGGTATTTTTTACCCACATAATTTACATGTTTGTGCAAATGGTATAATAAAATGGGTCATGTTAGGTAATGATCTGAAAGGATGAAGCACTTTGTTTAAACAGTGATTGTTTGTGTAGTTCACAACAGCTGTGCTAAGTTCTGATAAGTAAACAGGATAAGCCTGGTTAACGCTGAGTGGATTCTCAACGCCATCTGCTGATAAACTTGGAGAAAAGCTTTTTGCACAAATCTTTCAAAAACATTTTTGTTAAAAAAATGTATTATAAGAAAAGAATAAAGCAGATGAGAACACAGACCGCCAACAACACTTGCTGGGTTTAAGAGCAAAACAAGTCCCAGAAACAATTTTCAAAATTTTCTTATGAGTTTACCATACAGACCAACACAATAGTACAAAACTGTTACCGTGAATAAATTACAATGTGGCTTTCATTTGTATTTGATCCCATTTATCCTCATTCTTCAGATAAGTTCAGTGC